GGCCTGTGCTATGTGCACAGAAACTCTTGATGCAAGCAATTCGGTTGCCATAGTCCTGACTGTGATATTTTAATTGGTGTTGCTTATTTTTTCCGTGCATATAATCGTTTGTGTGTTTCTGCTCGTATTGTGTTTGCGACTAAAGAGAACAATCAAAATGTTGGCATATCACAACCTCTGTCTTCTTTCTGCCTTGACGAAATGGCTGAAGGGGACCTACTGTTTTACATCCCCATCTTAATCAGCTTAGGCAGCATTGTGCAGAGGATAGTGAGCAAGTATTGGTCAACGGCAGTCGAATGTGAATTTCGTCCTATATAACATCCAGAAAAAAATCCAGTCAAGGCCAAAGCAAACAAAACGGCTTGTGCAACCTCTACAGCTGGATAATGTCAAAAGAGTTACACGGACCCAGGTAGCTCCATTTGAGAAATGTTTTAGGAGAAACACTGTAAAACAGTGCTTTTCTGATGAAACGAAATTTTCCGCTTCTTGTCTTGATACTCTAGTTACCGACGTGGGTTTTGGAGTTGGAGGGGTCACAATAAGTAAAATGAAACCTGTCTAAAGCGATCACTCAAGGGACTGACAAAAAGCGGTCCGCTTAGACCGGTTGCACCCATGGAAGAGGTTCGTGCATGGGGGCACTAATTCTCATCGAGCATACGTGTGTACTACACTTCCAAAGGCGGACTTAATCTGTACACCGACAAGTTCTACGATCAGTTTATTCTTCTGACTACGACAATAACAGTAGTGTTACCTAGTACTGGATATATGAATAATAAAATGTAATATATTTACAGTTTATGAGTAAATATTTTAAAAACTAACCTAAAAATTAAGTTCATTCACAAATTTTAGCAAAATCAGATATAATTTGCTATTGCCCGTATCAATTTCCACCAGAAGAGAATGTTTAGTTTAGAAATGCTTTGCTTAACAGTTGAAATAAAATAGGAATTTGGTTTTTCCCTCACGTCCATGATAAGTTCAAGCATGTCACTGCGTCCGCTATTTGTTGCGAAGGAGCGCAAGATATCAACAGCACACCTTGCGCCCGTGATTGTATACGCTGTCAGAACGTCCGTAGCATCTTGCTTCTGCTCGTCTTCTGAGTCACTATTCACATTTTAAGCTGTTAGAATGAAAGTGGCAGGAATCTCGTAGTTGATTTCTATTGTGATTCAAGTTTGGGGATTAGAATCAACCACGGGGTTATCAGTCAGTCGGAATTCAAACTCTTCCTTTGAAAGATTATCCAGTGCAATAGAATTTGTAGGAGATACAATTTGGTCGTCTGTGTCAGGTCTAGCTTGCATTGCTTTCTCAGAATCTTTATCTGGAGGATAAAAAACCTACTTTACAGACACTTAGAGATTGTTGTTATCCGCTTCCTTCTATGCTGCACTGATGCTGAACACGACGTCCAATAAATTTACCCTTTTCATGAATTCAGTTTCAGACAAACTTTTGTGTGATTCGATGATCGTACTAAGATGTAGAATCAATTTTCCTAAACTTTAAGTGCTTGAATGAAACCTTGGTGGACGGGCTGAAGTAGCTCAGTGGTGTTAGATATCAGGAACTGAAGTTTGACATGCTCTAGTTGGCTTTTGAGATAGCAACTGGCATTGTCAACAAATAAAATGAGGTGCTATTTGTTCTATCTTTCTGACAAAGCTTTCAAGCCAATCTTGAGAAATAACTGTAGTCCACCATGCCTTTTTATTGTTTTTGTTAATTACAAGTATTTTTTCAAATTGAGGTGTTTAAATATTTGAGGGTTGGTCGATTTCCCATTCCCTAAAGCTAGTTCTCGTTCTCCATGCATATTAGTACACAGCATAACTGTGATTCTCTCCTTAATTTTTCTCCCGCCTGTCTAATTTTTCCCTCTGATAACATAGGTTTTGTCCGACCTCACGTTGAATAACAACCCAGTTTCAACTAAGTTAAACATATCCTGAGCCGTTTAACCAGAATATATTTAGGGTACTTTTGCTGTCCGGTCTGATGCAGCACACATATGTGAGTCACCGCTTTTGCCTGTTTGCTGACCAAACACAAGATTGTGCATTTTGATGCAAGTCTGCATCCAACCGTTTGACACTTTAAATTCCGAGATTTTCAATGAGTTTGCAAAATGCAATGTTCGTTCTTGAATCATTGGTCCAGGTAGTGGGATTTTTCTTGCACGACCTGTCTGCCATCATTACCAAGATGTGTGTGTGTGTGTTGTCTGCATTTCCTGTTTTTATGCTATTCGTTTTTCACTCTTGTTGCGTTTTCTTCAAAGCCATTTAAAAACTGCTATCCTCTTTAAAGTTCGAAGGAGTTGTATTTCCTACGCCGAAATTTTCTGCCACTGGTCGCGATCATTTTCATGCTTAACTTTGTTGAATCACGGATATTCTTTCCTCAACTGTTAATGCCTTTAGCGTTGCAATTATGAAACTAGCCACTTTATCGTTCTTCATACTCTTTAGCTAGAAAATATTCCGCTCGTAATGCACAGAATGCTTTAGTGTTTATTAAGCTCTTGTGTTTTATAAGGACCGAATATTCCCCTGACTAGACAACTGTACATATTTTCCCCAAAGTATCCGGAACTTGCCGATAACGTGTGCTTTGTGGAGTAATCACCGACTCAGTAGACACCCATTTACACGCGCGGACAGGTAATTTACCATTGCACTGCTAGTGTCCAATCTTGTTACCCGGACGAGATATGCAGAGGGGTAGACAAGTATAAGACCTCGAGACGAAACCTCAGCCACTTGTGAACGTAGTAGCCACCTTTTACAGGTGCTAGAACGCCTTGCGACCATAAAACGTGGTCGCGGTTGGGTTGGGCAAGTGGACGCGATACCCAGGTTAAGAACAATGGGAAACTATAGAAAACACGTCTGGGGGTGTTTTTGTCTGGTTCCCATAGAGGGGATGGTCCACATAGACAGGTGGTAGCCATAGTCAGGTGGTCCCTATAGCGGGTTGGACTGTAGCTTAATTCATGTCAAGCCTTCTATCAACAACAGGCTTGACAATGAATGAAGATGTCCCAAGTAGGTCCTTCGCACGCAAACGAATGCATCAAATGTTTCGTGCGCAACACGTTCAGGCTAACACAGTCGCCAATACCTAATAAAATACTAGCATTCCTAGGTATACGCGAACTCGAAATACCTAGAGACGATGATCTTCACTGTTCGTACAGGTTCACAATATCTGCATTGGAGGAATTACGAACGCCTCTACACTTCTTCCTTCTACCATGAGCAACGTTTGAGTGCACTTTCGGAAGAATTCAGTACCGGCAACTAAGTTCATGCATAAAAAACACTAGATGTTTGCGGCATTTTGATCTCCATTAGTTATTGTTGATTTTGGATTAAAATTACCGACTGTTGCTTGGCGAGTTTGTACTGATGCTAATACTTTTGGCAGAGAGGATGACATCATTGTGAAAAGTCTCACTCTTATCATTTTAGTTTACAAACGTACGAATCAATTTCCAATCGTTTCTCCTCCTGCTGCTCTAACATTTGTCGAACTGAAAAGAACTACCGGTATCGCACCAACACTGCATTTTAAGCGTCATCTGAGGTATAGCTGGGTGGATGGCAGATGAAATTCGCTGATTTGCCAAACAAATTTCTACGCGAAAAATAAAATCATGCGGGCATTAGCATACTATCAGTACAAAGCGCACTGTAGAATGCCCCATAAGACATTGTCATTCATAGACCTAGCCTAAACCTCTCCCTGATTACTCGGCTAGAAAAGTGATACTTCGTGGTTCAGCAGTGGTCACGAAACATTTCGCCACTTCTTACAGATTATTGTGGAGAATCCCTGTAGTAACGTTGGATAAGCGACTGGTTATCCTCGGTGAAGTACATGGCGCTGTTGTAGATGAGTCTACCTATTCATCATAACTTGATGTAAACTCATTTATATTCCCATTTTCATTAGAATGATAATGATCTCGTTCATGATTATCATGCAGAGCAACACTAGAACAACATTGTGCTTTAGAGACCAACGCTGTATAATGAGAACTGCTCAAGTTATGACAGACCTGTGGTAAAACCAAGCGCGGTAAGCAACGATTAACGTGGCTGTACTTTGACGAATCCGCAAGGTTACCAACGACTTTGCAAATAAAGCGGCATCAGCTAGTCAGCTTTTCTCGGCTTTATGTATCCATCATCATCAGCACTCGTAGTTGCTAAAAACATCAGCATCAAAATATTTGCACAATGAGTCTGACAAGCAAGCAGCACCGACTTACCGCTGGCGCAGGATGTGAGACGTGTTTGTTAACTTCATCTTTAAGCCCACATGGGATCGCGTGGAATTAGCTTGGACGGCGTGAAATCGCAAGAGCGAACGTGATAGTTAATGACTGCATTACAGATGGCTAGCCCCTGATTTCTTTCGAAGCTCCACCGCCCTGTATACGGGTGTCAAAATATAGTCCTAATCTACAAACAATTTTTAGACACGCGTAGTAGTTGTCCAAATCAATGCAGCACCTTCAGTTTTATTTGTCTACATGACGAAGTAATTAGATCTAAATCCCTCAGTATTACTCCGCAGATCACACTTTTCAAAAACGCGATGCCAGTTATCACAAACGATCCTCTTTAATTTACAATAGACCATGGTTCGAATGGGTTTGAAATCATTAGACCGATGGTAACGTATTCCACCACTTTAGAGGAGGACGGTTTTCTCTGTGAACATGTTTACATGAACACCAGAACCAATGAAATTCATCTTCCGGTATCAATGGCACCCCAACTTTTTGAAGTCCATTCTGCTTTACAAAATACTTGAATTAGGCCCACGACCATCGTAAGATAACCATTGTAACAAATGCATATATCAAACTAGCTGAGTTGATTAACTGTTTGCAGTTTCCCGTAGCTGGTAATCTAAGGGCTTGCAAGTAACTGTGTTCATTATTGATTCACTTTGTATTCACGCGTCGATAGCTTGCGGCTTACAAATCTTTCAAAGCTGCGGAGAGAACTCGTCAGAAAGAAAACGAAGAACTAAGGCTTGCACTAATGAGAGAGACTCATGAAAAACAGGCAAAGATTGAGTCAGCTCGTCTGTTGGCCGCTGAGAAGACCCGACTATATGTAATGCAACAACAGCGAAAGTTGAACGAAGCGCAAGTGAAGGCAGCTGTGTTGCAAAATGAACAGCGTTTGGACCGCATTCGACAGAAGGTAAGAGGCTAAGTAGTTGCATTTTGAGTCCTGAGGCTTACAAGTATAAACTTGGTTTCAACGCAATATCCTTGGGCAGATGGAATCGGTTAATTGATGATAGCATTCAATTTCTCTCGGTCCACTTTCGTCTAAGGTTTGGCAAATCTCCATCTGGCTCCCACTGAGTTCAACTTAATCCCATACAACCCCACAATTTTCATATGTGGCAACAGCCTTAATTCATCATTTGTGATGGCACTCCTATCCTTCTATCGCATGCATCTACTCAGTATTTAATCGGAACTTCTGTGACCCCCAATAGCTATGCACCCACGGCGCGACGATTACCCAAGTGCATCTACCCCTTATGAACTCTAAGATTGTATTTCCAATTAACCGTCGAAAACTAACAGATGGGACATAGCAATAAGGACGCAGTTGCTTGCGTTTTTATTATTTTGAGGTTGCTATATATGTATAGACAGATGTGCATCCAGTCACGTAAACGGAAACACCTGCGACTGACCGCGACTAAGAGAGTGAGGAATGATATGTACGTTGAAATAAAGGAATGGCAGTAGATAATTGTGTAGTGTATATCATGTCTTAATAGTTATCCCGTCAGTCGTCATGTTTTACAACCTTGTCCTTATGGCCGTCGCCTTGGAATAGCAAATTCAGAATGTGTCTCAGTCCCCGTATGAAAATGTGCATGTCTAGTGCATTTGCGGTTGTTTTGTTAACTCACGAGCGCCGCTATCTCCGATAAGTCATATTACCGAATTCATTACTGCTCTGAAAGCAAAATACTTACTGGCGTACTCGGTTTCGGACAAAAGGAACGCATCTGGATTTAACCTTTCTATTATAATTCTGTGCCATATGAAATCCTAAGCAAGAATTACGGTCAAGCAAGCAATCAACAGGCCGGTGTAGACGCCCGACGATATCACGTTTTCCATAAAATATATCAGCAGTGCAAAGAACCCAGAGCTAGATGGGGCTGAACGGTCACTTGCTACTTATTGATGGAGATCTAACCATTTGTGAAAAATGGGACATCATAACGATATCCGAACTATGTAAAGCTGCTGGTTTCATTTTGTTAGTGTATCATAAGCCACTCTAACCAGAATACAGAAATGGATCACGTTCAAAGGGTAACAAGGTAGGATTGTATCAAAGACAATGGGTTCTAAATGATAAAAACTTACATTTTAGAGCCGAACCGCTGCTGATCATTCATCAAAATAGATAAGCGTGCAGCAGCTTAAAATCACCACTCGTAACCCATCTGCGGCTTCGTCGCCGCTGGCTGACATCAGCTAAGGTTACTTATAAATAGGCATGGGACCTCACCGGGCGATTGTTGAAATACCTAACACTTTGAATCAGGCACTCATGGCTTAGAATCGTTGAGAGCATCTCTAATCCCGTCATAACCGATTTCATTGAGCTGCATTACTCAAACCGGTTTATTAAAAATGCTGCACATACAACGATCTTCTGGTTAATAGGATAGACGAAAGGGTAAGAAATTGATGGCATTGAGGTAAAAGCTGCAATTTTAGGATAACTTTTCCGACTTCCATAAACAAATAAAGTAAAGTAAAGTAAATAAATAAAGTAAAGTAAACAAATAAAGTAAAAGAAATACTTCCTGTTATGTGGTAAATATTTGAGAGAGAAGTTTGATGAGATTTCATGACACAGTATAAGCATAAATGAACAATTAGTAACGTTACTTCAGATTGTATAAACTCCGAGCTGCAGAAAAGAGGAATCATTTTGCGTTCCAAAAAGGCCACCGTGGCCATACTGAAACTCACTCCTTTGTCTTTTATTATTGATTTACGGATATTTTGTTTAGCTGTACCTTCCGTAACGCGGACAAAATCGATTTATCCAGCTTTTTTTGCACAAAATGTTTTAATAGTTGTAAGCTCTATATAGCATGTTGCACTTACAAAACATCCCTTATGTGAAAACTCCAAGTTTGCTATCAACTACTCCTTCAGCGCAACATGGGATACAATTTTCGATTACTGATGCGCACGAGTCGACTCTTTTTGACAAGGCATTTTTCCGCATAAGAGGAATATGCGAAAGATGTTAAACTTGAGGATTGAACATAAACTAATTACGTTATGCGACAAACAACACTGGTTAGCAGTGTTTTTCGTGTCCACAAGGAATTTTGGGGTAATTTAGTATCACTGATTCCGAACGTGGCTTCGGTTTTGCTACATTGACTCTGCTTTTGTGATTGGGTGCACCCATCAAAAACATGACAGCATAGAAAAAAGCGAGGGCTTAATCTATGAATCTTATGAAAATTGTGTTTGAAATACGAATGCAGAAGATAAATATCTAATGAGTTTGTATATCCGATAACTGAAGTAATAATCGACTCAGCTGAGGTTTATTATGATAGTCATTTCTTGAAAAAGAAACGCTGTTGGTACGATATCCTACTATGTGGTTAATCTTGAAATTCACATAGGATGTTCCAGCAGTAGTCTACCAACATGTGTCTGTCCCACGTGCCATGATACATGTTTGGTTTGACGCAACCTCACACCTTGTGTTTACTTGGAGTCACCAAGATTGTCTGGAAACGTGTTTAAATAACTATAGAGAAAGTGTGAATTTGTGCTTATGTTTCGAACCCTTGTTCCAAAGTTTGTAGGTATATTCTTCATCAGTACTTGATTATTGCTTACATTAGTGGTTACTTATGAAGTTTTGGACAACAGCGAGAAAAACATCACAAACAGAAGCTCCAACACTGTTCATACCCACTGGAAATTGCGATCGGTAATGAGTTTTCGAATTTGAAGACCATCGAAGATTCCAATCTTCAGTTTATACATACGCAGTTCACAGAATGCTCTACAAATGAATTCGAAGTAATCGCCATCATTGTCCGGTATCTTTAATTGCTTCATCAACCCAAACCTTATACCAAGGGGTGAGAGAACAATTCTTTCTGTCAAACCAAAGGCATCTTGCTATTCTTCGCTATGCCTACCTTCATGTTTTCCCTGACAGGCCAAATAGCTTTGCTCCAATCAAGCTGCCTAGTCATGCGGCCCAATAAGCGCACGAATCAAGCATAATTTATGTATTAACATTGCTGTCTATGCAAAAAGTTCATTAGATTAAAATCACGCAATTAATCCAGGTTTGCTAGTTATATCATCGTTTCATCAGAGCCTTTCTGCGACATTTATATTACTCTAAGTTTAATTGCGTGAATATTTGGCACAAGTGCATAATGATTGCCGTTGTGCAGTTGGACACGCTTCAAACTTCTGCTGTAGCTGTCTATAAAGAGCCTCCAATTTTTCGGTCGACATATGGGTAGTCCCATTAACACAAGACATCCAGCAATACTAGTACAGTTGACAAGCACCTCATCAGAAATGCCTCTTCTCTTGTACGATTAGCTGTCATTTATGCTGCCGGCTTTAATCAGTTCATTTCTTTGAGCCTAGATACTAAGAGTTCAGATGTTTGTTCTGACATATCGGTGGATTTTCGCCAGACAAGCGATATCTCTATAAAAAACTACCAATGTCCGTTTATCAACACTCTGACGTGACGAATGTGACTCGCCACAAACTAAAGTCACTGCCCCGTGGATATCTGGATAATTACATCCAATCCGAGGACATCAATCGTCTATTCTCACATGGCCGACGCTGTCAAACAGTCAAAAATACAGCAAATACAACACAAGCTACAAAGCTACACCTATCCACAGTTACACACACATCTATGCATAGATTCACTGTTATCACAAGCATGTTGTATTCTTGTACACTTTTTTCACACTGTTATCATAATATGATCATGCCGGTAAAAGCGTGCGTCGCGTTGCCGAGCATAAAAAATTATTTATTTGTTTATTTAAATCTCGTATGGATTATTTGGTTCTCCTCTTGATAATTGTTGAGGTATTCAGGAAATTACTTCTATTTGCTCTCACTGTTACCATTTGTAACACAGCATGGAGCCTTGTCATAAAATTCTTCGATATTGTTACAGGAAAATTCAGGCAGTGAAAGTATCATTGGCTTGGGAACTTTTGCGCTGTGGGGCACAGGTCGCCCAGCTGATGCCAGCTCAGTATGCTTCCGTTTAGGTTTCATGTATCGATGAATGCTTTCACATTGACAGCACAGAGTTAGCAATCATCATGATAGGTTGTCAGCGTTCCATACACTACAAACACAATAGAAGTCAAATCTTTGCGAAGACACGACACAGGTTTACATGCCTTATCAGGAGTCCAGGGCCGTTTCTAACTTCCATATTTTACACTAAAGCATGGACTATATTCTTAAATCACAACTATAAAGATATTTCCCTCTTCCTTTGCCACAAATGTAGCAAAATATATAAGGACTATGCAAGCAGCTACGTCAAGCGAAACTTATCTGTGGGAAAAGTATTTACTAATATTATTAACTAATTAATAGCTGGTTGCTTACTGTAGCTCAAAGAGGAGCCGATTTATGAAAACCTGATTCACATTTGTAATCTGAACTAGCGATGTGCTGTGAATTCGTTAATATATCCTTGGCAGCAACAAAAGACATTTTGAGTTTTGTGATCGGTGTAATCAGTGATTTTTACACGTTGACCCTATGGTGACAAAATACCAATGCGATTAGTTTGGACAAAGTATCACCACAGCCTTTAGCCAATTTTATTTTTCTTAATGTAATTTGAGGGAACTAGGAGTTAGTATCACCCACTTTGATCTCACGCAGCATTCATATGCAATCACATGCAGGGTTGTAGTTTCCGCCTCTGGTAGATTCCAGCGTACACAATTTTCATTCACAGTGACTGAAAGTTTTATAGATACTTCTGATGAGTGCAGGCAGAGACCTGTCAAACACCCCCGATAAATTTCAAGTTATTGTACTTTTGTCCATTCACACACATTCATCCAGTGCCTCTGCTATCTTCAGGTTCGCCCCATCGTCAAATCCAGTCGTGCTCGTATCAGAGCCGAAACAAAAGTAGGTGTATATTCTTTCATATGGAAAATCAACCGGCATCGTTCTATCTATAATGTACCGGAAATTCTGTTTTGTTAAAACTAGTAGTGCGTGTTGAATGGATATAATTTTGTTTACACTCTTTAAAACGTGACAAGACACTGGAGGAGTAGTGAAATATACACCACCAGTTTCATCATGTATTTCACCACTTCAAACTAAAAACATATTTTCAATCAATGTTAAGCACAACTTGGCTCTTACCTGTATTTCATGTTGCCACAGGCGCATGTTCATCTGTAGCAAGAATATCCTACTCCTGTTATTCAAGCCTGTAGTAGGACTGTGTTTCATATCAATATTTTCCTTTTCTACTATGGCTGCGTACAATGGGAAGCAGAAAATGAAAAGTGAATTTGTGGGATAAGAAAAACCAACTCTAGAGAGACGCAAGGCTGCACTCATATAACAACTGAAAACCGTTCACTATAGCTCCATTAATCCTTGGTGGGGTTGCGTATCTGTATATTACATGTTATGTTTTTAACGACTGTAAGCTAGGTTACCTGGAGCCTGTGTATAATGTTCCAGGAAATTGTCAACGTTTTGTACTTGTGTCTTCCTAAATTTACCTAATTCTAATATTCTGCAGGTAAATTAAGAATATCGGTATCTTAGTCCCTATCTCCATTCCTCTTTTAATTTCTGAGCTGTTTAATGAAAATGTTGGGTAATGCCATGCTTGACGCGCACTTCCATGAAGGTTTCCAAACTTCAAACGACGTAGCGGCGGGACGCAAACTGTGTAATAAATTTGTGTTGTCTGGCCCTGATGAAGATTACAAGGCCTAAAAGATGTAGCAAAATATCTGCAACAGAGCTAAAACACAGAAGTGTCAAAACTTTGAAGAGTGACTTGCAGTCACAGAGAAAACAGCTACATGAAATGACGCCTGAGGCTTGCAGACAATGTTCCAGGGTTGGAAGCCATAGATGGACAGCCCCTAACCTCGTGCACGGATCGTGTTTTTGCATTGGCGGCGCAGCTCGCTTCCGTATTTGCAAAAGGACAAGCGTCTGTACTGCGTTCGACAAGTAACCTACCAGCCCAACTTGATAATCCTGATAGCGGCATTGAAAATGTAAACAAGCTGCTGGCCGGTCTTGAAGGAACCCAGACTGCCGGGCCTGATGGAATCAACCCAATGATCCTCAAAGCATTATCGGCCCTCATCGAACCTTCCGTGACTGAGCTGTTCAACAGGTCACTATCCACAGGTTTCTTACCGAGCGACTGGAAATGCTCAATCGCAAAGCCAATACCGCAAAGCGGTGTTTAGTTCTTGGACCGAAAACCAGCCATCAGCTTAGAATATTATCCAAAGGTTGTGTCCCTAATAACGTTATTGGTTTTCCGTCGCGTTTTTCCTTTAGTTCTCTTTTACAAATTAGTTGAGTAAGGGTTTCTGTATTTTCAGTTTTCTCCATGATGTTTCTACGTGTTCCTAATCGCTATACTCCTCAGCTGACAATAGTAAGTTCTTTCTTAATGCAGTTCTATTCAGCTGCTAACAATTTCTTACCATAATGTGCTCTAGTAACCTAATGATTTCCATTCCACGTGCACGTTAGCCTGGTATCCCGAAATGAATTGGCACTCTGAATCAGTAGCTTATCAAGAGGACAGGAAAGCATGGAATCTGGTCCAGTCCATTCCCACTAAATGCTAGGTGCGCTACATGAGGAACTGTCATAGGACTCAACCTGAGTCGTTCAATGTCATCAAACATCTAATCAGTAGTCTTATCAATTCAGTCAGTAGCGGCATGCCATAAACCATTGCTTTTTCTCTTAAAAATGGCTGGCGTTCGCGGCATACCTTAATTTCTGATGCTTGTTGATAAGGCGTAGATAGCACTGACATTAAGGTTACCTTCCTACTATATTAACAAGCCAGAGCCTTGTGATATTATATCCCCCATTGTTTATTGTGTTCTTTTTATAATCATTAGCACATGGGTAAATCGACATTCCCTGTAGACATCGCTTTTTCGACTCAGCTCTTTATCTTTGATATTTCCTTTTCCAAATGGAACGTATATGTTGCATTCCAACACCAGCAACAGAATGCTTTCATCTACTTTTGACATAGTCCTTTAGTTTGCTATGAAGAAGTTAGTCTAGTCACAAAAGTTACATCTTTTGCACATACTAGTGGTACGAGACAAAGTTTGGTAGTCAGTTCTGTGCACCCATTTTGACTCGTGCACTCAATTTAGACAGTTACGTTTTGAGTGAAGGCTCTCCATATTTTAGTACTAGCCAGTTCGGTAGATAACAGCGATTCCAGTGCAAGCCAGCATGCGGTACACAGAACTGTCCGAATTTTACAAACACAAACTGTATTTACCTTGTTCACCTTTCCCTTGGCAGCACAATCTGAGTGTTAAGTATGCTGCTTAGCCGGGCCAATAATGCTTGTCGGTGTTGTTCCCAACAAGACGAGTAGCTGCACGAAATCCAGACCGCTTACGCCTCCGCAGATCCTAGCCGCGATTATCCCACACGCGAGATAAGCGCAATCCCAGAACTGCACCGCTAAACCGAGAGGGAGACAGAAGGCAGTCCTTTCTACAAGAGCGCTTCTATTGACTCAGAAGAAAGGCGAACATGAATTACACACCTCCGTAATTATAGCAACGTTTTTCCAGACTGACGAAAGTAAAAAGGCATTTACAAGGACGAACATCAATTAATGGAAGTCGTTACCCTGCACCGGTTTTACCGAGGGAATCACGGGCTGATTGCGACCGGTTTATTTTCTCCGGATGAGATAAGTGACGTACTACAAGTAGATAACAGTGACACCGAGGGAACATCGGTGTAATTGTCATCTGTGTGAGTTGCCATGTGGAACCGGTGGGACGCGTTCAATGAGAGGGAAACGGCTCGGCGTGGAACTTCTGTGGACCCATATGGGCGCCACAGCACCTCATTTCAAGCCAGACGGTACTGTTTTTGGCTAGAGATTACGTATGCCGTTTTGGGCCTTTTTCTAATACGTTCTGTCCTTCGGCGAGGACAGTTGGGGCTTGACGTTGGTCGAACAGTTTCGACGGGCGTCCGTTGTTCCGTCACGATTTCGATAGTGTCCTGCAGGACGTGTAGCGGCAGACGCATAGTCGGACTGGATTGCGTAGATATTTTTTCGTGGCGCAGATGCATTTGATTACGTTGGCGTACCCATGTACCACTATCCAAGGCAACGTCAGAAAGCATATCGCCCCGGTGGGCCGTCCTCTTTGCTTCGATCTAACGTGGATGACCACCTAGATAGTCGCGGGCGTAGACAGAGGCTCCAACGACAAAGCCCTTACGACTGGTGAAAACTGAAGGTTGTTTTGGCGCCTCTTCGGTTGGACTGAGTGCTTCGTGGATGGCACCCAGCTTCCGGCCCATCAATGCTTCGGCGGGAGATTGACCTCCTGGAAGTGCTGGATTTGGAGTGGTACTGTAGGAGAACAAGAATATATGGGGGCACTCATCCACGGTTACCTCCTCACGAGCTTTGAAGAGGGCTCTCTTGAACGTGTCGATGAAACGCTGCACTTGACCATTGGACTGGGGATGGTATGGCGGTGAGCGAAGCTGTTGGATGAGGCGAGGATGACAGAAAGCTTCGAACATAGAAGACCTAAACTGCGAACCATTGTCAGACAGCAAGATGTCGGGAAGACCATTTTGACTGAAGGTCCGCTGTAGACAAGTCAGCGTTGCACTTGTGGTTGCAGAGTTAATAGCCACGAATTCCGGCCATTTGGAGTAAGCGTCAACCAGAACCAGATATGCAACGCCAACATAGTCTATGTGTACACGGGACCACGGTTTTTCTGCTGGTTGCCAAAAAACTGGAGGTTGGCGTGATGGCATCTTGGCTGCTTGCTGACATCGTGAGCAACGGCGAACCAATTCTTCAATGCCACTGTCCATACCGGCCCAATAAACGTACCTGCGAACGATTGACTTCTAACTGTTGGTATCAAGCTGAGCAGAATGGAACTGGCAGAGTACGGCTTGCCTAAGGCAGGTAAAATCCATGACCCGGCCAGCAGTCATTATTCAGGAATCGACCATGGAAGGAGAGTTGAGGCTCCGTGACAATTGCTTGAGTTCTCCAGATAGACCATTGGAGGGCTAACGTGTCTAAACTTAACTGACAGCTTGGCGGAGGACGAGGTCTTGCATAGTTGTGCGGCGTATGTCGGTGGCAGTAACAGGGAGACTGCGGAAAGCACTCAAGAGCTGGTGACGAACATCTGCCTCGACGGTAACAGTGGTGATCACAGTGTCTTCCTCTGTAGCGTGCTTGGGAATGAGGCGGGAGAGACGGTCAGCATGACCGAAATCCTGGGTGCGGCAGAAGCGGATTTCGAACTCGTAACCAAGAAGGATGACGGCCCACCGCTGAAGTCGGCTGGCTGAGTAGGCTGGGATGCCCTTCTTAGAACCAAAGATTGTTAGTATCGGCTTGTGATCGGTCAATAAGGTGAAGTGTCGACCATACAACGTCTTGTAGAACTTCTTGAGGGCAAAGACGACGGCCACGGCTTCTTTCTCGATCTGACTGTAATTCTTTTCTGCTGACGTCAACGCGGGTTAGACGTGCATGAAGGTTTGCTCACATGTAAAGCAATCAATCAAGTAGCCAGAACAACTCTTGTTATCCCTTGAATCTATACAGCTAGTCGGCAAATCCATTGTGTGTTTCGGTGAAGTACAAATTGGCAGCCTAAATCCATAAATACTTTACGAAGAGAGTTTATGTAGTGGTTGGTAAAAGGTTTGATTCCCTATCAATGCATGCCTTTTTACTCAAGTTCTAGCTTCCATTAGTCCTATTGGACGTGTCGTCGGTCACCTGGCATCGATATTGTCCTGTTATGTGATACCACGCTTCAGAATCCTAGAGTAAAAGAACTTGCAAGAAATGTACATAATTTTTGCGGGTATTGTTGTGGGACGGTAACTTAACTACTTGTAATCGGCGTTCACACACCAATACCGGACACAAGCCAAGTTACCAAGCAGCCGAGTTAAGGAAGAAAACTTGAATTGTCCAACAGTAGGTGGGAGCCGTCGCAATATGCTAGGTCTTACTTGAATTATCTTTTACCATACTTAAGACACGAATACTTGATCATGGTCGAGGTAAGATGAACTCATTTGCGGCGGCTCCTATTAAACTGATTCCACTATAAACTGTTGAGAATTTGACTTCTTTCAATGTTTATCTGTTAAAGATACTGCAGGGTTCCACAGCGATTGAATCCTTTTCACCAACTGGGACAATTTGAGATTGGCGACCAACTAATACTATGTTTGGCAGTTAACTTACAAGTAATCTACAGCCATCATTCGTCCGATTTTTTTAAAGGGATGGCTTGAGTTAATAAGAATACTTAGTACCATTTTGAATCCCATTCAAATCACAAGCTATAACAATGCTTCATACACTTGGTTTAGAAGTAGATGTCAAATTCGTGCAGACCGGATTCTGCACATTTGTTGATTGATGGAACACTATCAAATAATTAGGCATTTAATTTGCATTTGTTATGAATATGCATTGGAGTGTCATAAAGTAGGCGGAAATTCATCACAATAAGGCTTACTAAAGGCAAACCTATCTGAGAGTTAATCTGACTAGTAGGGCTCGACACAACCGTAGCTGAGAAAAGTTTACGCGCGATGTAATCCAGTAAGCCAATACCATGTCCTTAATCTTATGTTAGAGGCCAAAGCGTTCAATAAATATGGCTTCATGTTGCGCTTTATTTGCAGCTTGGCTTTTCATTAATGAAGCTAGTTTTCCGTACTATCATCACTACCAAATACGTAAATTTTTTGTACACTTGAACGATAGTGCTTTGAACCATCTAAGTCATCGCAATTTACAGCCATAACCTGCATTATTAATTCTTACTATTTTTATAGTCTTGGAAGATAAAATTCCAACAGCGCCAGGATGGTGACGAAACCACATCTGCTGTGAGTGAAGGACCGCTTTCGTTTGAACGCCTACCCCACATCCCGAACACGTTTACCGATAAACAGCTATTGTCAGATCGCCGGACACGACTTGCTGCCGTATTGAGCTCTGCTGGTTTGTTAAATACGGACTATTCTCGAGCCCTGTTAAACTCTCTTCAATCGGCATACCAACCTAGGAGGTACGATCAAAACTCTGATCAGATGAGAGAAATTCTGCAGTCAGTACAGAAGGAAGACTAGAACTCTTAGTGGTTTATCCAGATGCTGTATCTTAATAAATGTACTGCAGTCATAAAAAGGTAATGGTTTCAGTCTGGCTTGGTGGATGACTCCATTTATGCGTAACTTCGGGTTAATTACCAACGGTGTTTGTCAGCTTGACAAATGAATTGTTATGCGATGTCTTATAACTTGTCCTGTATACTCTCTATTCTATTTAGCCCACTAAGTCTCAGTAAACGTGGCACGAGGGCAGAAAAATTGTTCTGCTTTTTAAATGGGAAAGTCTAACCTTACTTCGAGACCATGGGGTGGCATAAAATCCTGTAAACTTGTCCTATTTAGCAGACCAGGGCTTTTGCTGTTTGGGGTTTGAGAAGTGGACATTTTCAGTCAATTTATCCGGAAGCTGTTACTTAAACATAGAGGCGCAAAGGAACAAAATACACCATATTTAGAGAACGGACGTTCACCAAACGCAGCTTCACATGCGACAACCGAACCCGACAGAAATAAGACAGCAGACAGGCCAATCGCGGCAGGCAATTTTACCGGCCAGGCTCTAGGCAATTACAGCCTAGTCCGGCTTTCCTTATATACCGCGACTGTGAATTATATGAATGTTCACGTAGAAGGGTTTGCGTAAGCAAACGCTGGAAGCAAGGCATAAGCAAGTGAATTGGCACTATGTGAATATGTCAATGGGACATGTCGAAAAGTGAATGTAGGTAGATGCGGAGGTTGGACTGGAAAATGCGTGTTTCTTTGATAATAAAAGCTGAATGTTTCATAATCACTGTGGTTGACAGGAAACAGGAATGTTTCTTAGGTGCAGTTGTTGATCGAACAATGAATGTGTCACGAGTTGGAAAACTACTCGAAACATGTACAATGGTCTGAATGCGAGTCTCATTGCTTTCCGTGGTTTCAGCTTGCGATCTAGTGCGAACTTTGGTCCCCATAACATCCCCTTTCAAGTGTGAAAATACCGTTTTAGTTTCAGGTCGATCTGTAGTATTTCGGTCCTTCGACGGATACGTTCCGACTCGCGGTGAGGACAGGTAGATTTTGACGTCAGCTACATAACTTCCACAGGCTCCGGTTGTTGCACAACGATTTTGACTCTATCCCATGGTGTGTGCAGCGGTATTTGTGTAGCTGAGTGGGATTGTTCATTCAGCGTTCGGTATCGCAGTCGAAGTTGGTTTTGATGGTGAATCAATTTGTTGTCTCCAACAGCGACATCAGGTAGCACCCCACCACGATGGCGCGTTACTGTAGCCTGCATCCACTGTGCGTAATCAGCCCGGTCGTCATGAGTGAAGACAGGAGCGCCAACAGCAAAGCTCCTGCTACTGATGAGGACTATGATCTTCACTGGAGGCTCTTCGGTTGGAACCAACGCTTCGTGTGTTTTGTTCAGGTTCTGGGCCATCAATGCTAAGACGAAGGATCTTCCTCCTGAGCTGCTGGATTCGGTGTGGTTCTGAAAGCAAACTGGTAGCCTAGATACTGGTTTCCACGCTACCCTCCTCAAGAGCTACCCTCGTCACGCTACCCTCCTCCACAAGAGCGCTGTCTTGAAAGTGTCGACGAGATGTTCCGATTGTCCGTTGGACTGTGGATGGTAGGGCGGCGATCGAAGGTGCTGGATGGTTGACGGCGGCAGAACTCATCAAATTGAAAGGATGTGAAGTGCGACCCTTTACCGTACACCAGAACATCAGGAAATCCGTGTTGGCTGAAGGTTCGCTGGAGGCAAGTTTTCCTTGACTTTGTGGTCGGTGGGTTCACGGTGACAACTTCAAGCCATTTAAAGTGAGAATCAACTAAGACAAGATAGGAGATGCCTTTGATTGGACCAACCTAGTCGATGTGAATGCGAGCAAGATTTTTCCGCTGATTACTAGGGGGCTGGAGGCTAGTGCTGTGGCATCTTGGCTGCTTATTGGCGGCGAGAACAACGGTGAACCAAATCTTCAATGTCGCTATCAGTACCGACTCAATAGATGAAGGTGCGAGCGAATGCTTTTATTCTGCTAATACCTGGGTGTGCTAAATGGAACGTACTCAGGACGGCTTGTCGAAGACAGACAGGAACGACGACTCTATCGGCAGTCATGAAGCAGAAATAAAAACAGAGAGAGATTCTGGACACTGAAATAGGCGCCTTATTTCTTCAGGTATTCCAGTGTTAGACCAACGTGTTCGAACGTTAGCCATAGCTTGGCGGAGAACAGAGTCCTGTGTAGTTGCGTGACGTATATCGGCGGCGGAAAAAATGATGCTGTAAATAGCCCTTGTAAGTTGATAGCGTACATTTTCCCCGCAGGCAACAGAGGTACTCACAGTTTTCTCGTTAACAGCTTGCTTTGGGATTAGCCAAGACAGACTGCCAGGTTGACCGAAATCCTGGGTACGGCAGAACCGGGTTTTGAAATCGAGCCGAAAAGAATAACGGTCCATCGTTCAAGTCGGCTGGCTAAGAATGCTAGGATGCCTTTATTGGAATCAAAGATTGACGGCAATGGCTTGTGGTCAGTCAGTAAGGTGAAGTGCCTGACCACACAGAATGTTGTGGGACTTGTTGGCGGCAAAGAAGATGGTCAAAGTCTCCTTTTCTATCTGACCGTAGTTCTTCTCTGCGGACCTCTGTGTGTGTGGGGCTTGCATGACGGCTTTCTCAGAACCATCATGGAAGCAACGGGAAAGGACTGCTTTGATTCCATAATTGGAGTCACTGGCGGCGACCAAAATGGGTAAGGCTGGGTCGTAATGCGTTAGTAGTAAGTCAGTACTGAGAAAAGTTTTCAGGAGCCCGGATGCCTTCTCGCATGCGGGGGACCGGTGCTAAGGAACGTCTTTTGGTAACTCGTTTGAGCGGGGCCCTTACCACGTGTAGCGATAGTAAGAAGGCGCTGCAGTAGCTGATGAGGCCAAGGAAGGACCGCAGCCGATGAATAGCTTTGGTGGACGGCATCTGTCGAGTGGATCGGACCTTTTTGAGGGTAGAATGGCAATCATTAGCCTCGAAGACAAAGCCGAGGTACTTGTTCGACCGAAGGAGGAGTTGACATTTATTAACACTCCGGCGGAAGCCATACTCCTGAATCCATCCAAAGACAGACACCAGACGTTCACGCAATCATTATGGAGATTGACTAATAATGAGGAGGTCATCCAGGTAAGCGGTCTTACGCGGAATACCAGATCTCATTGGATCCATTGTCTGCTGGATCATGTCTGGGGCGGTCTTGACACCAAACTGGTGTACTGGAAAAGACCGCGATGTGTTGGTAATCAGATGTTAGTGGCTTAGTAGATTACTACGACTAGTTGGCGGCTTGAAAATATCAGAAGGTGTGCACTAACAAAAATGAAGTATAAGTATTGAGGCGTGTTCGTTATGTATCAGTACAGTAAAGATATAAAAAGGATAGGCCGGCCCTAAGAATACAATGTACGAGATAGAATTTAATAGTGTTACTCAAAAATAAGGTAATGAGAAAGTGGTGACTTATCTCACAGCACAAATCCTGTTCGTGGGGAAATTGTAGGTCGCGGCCAGTCCGGTCGTGTGATGATTGCCTTGTCGTCGTGGGCGTAGCGCTTTTCTTGACGGTTGTCAAAGCACCAGTCGGGACGGTCGTGTGACGTTCGTTGTAGTCGGTCGGGGGAATGTCGTTGTCGATGTACTATACGGTTTATATAATACTTCATTCAGGCGTTCAAACAGGTGGGCCGTAAGTAGTACGATGTGTGTATGTGGGTCAAGGGGAAGAGAAGTACACAATGTGAGAATGTGTTATCCGAGACAATCTCGATAAGAATGAAACAGTTTTGTTATGTTGACCTCGGTCGTGATGTAGGTCACGCGACTCAATTACACGATGTGAGGATGTGGTATCCAAGGCAATCTCGATAAAACTGTAGTAGTTTTATTAGGTTGACCTCGGATTTAAGTACACGTGCACGTGGTGATGAAATCTTCCGTTCCGAAGATAGTGTAACGGAATCAAAAGTGCATGTGCAATGCGACCTCACACAGATATGGTTGCGACTCAGGAGCAACTTCGATCTGTAGGTAGACATCTGCCAGGTCGATCTTGGCGAAGCATGTGCCACTATTGTGCATCGTGAACAGGTTGGTTGGACATGGCACTGGTTAGCAGCTTCGCTCCATCGCCGTTTTTAGGCCACTGGAGAAACCAGCACAGATTCGGAGGGATCTATTCGGTTTTTTGACCAAAACGTTCAGGGTTGCCCAGGCAGAGTACGACACGGGTAACAGGATACCCATATCTTCCGAACGCAGGCTGTTACAGTGATCTGCAACAAACATAGAAGCACTTCAACTTAGACCAGAATGGTCAACGAACAACGGTGTCCATCGACCGCCTCAAGGGGGCCCTCTTTGAAGAACCACTTCCAACCAGTCCTAATGCCATCACAAAAGCAACCGCACCGACATTGCCTTCCCGAACGCCAGATATCCCAAAACCCTCTGTTCCCCATGACGTTTCACTTACCCAGCTACCACTCCAAGCAAACAACCGACACGGTAGTCAGGTGAAACCTACTACCTGTTTGAGTGATATGGTTACGAAAACTTATTTTCGGCAACTTGCATGCATAGTTCTGGATTCAGGCGGTAATTTCTGTCAAAGAAGGACGAATTCCTTGGCATGTTATAAAGACAGATGTCTCAAAAGTTTGATAGGCTTGTCATCTGGAACCGCAAACCAATGTATCTTGTTTTATGTTAAGTATATGCGAGAGTGACCCAGGCAAATAGATGTCGTGGGTTTGTGTCGACTAATATATGGTTGCAACGCAAGGATTTGAAGTATCTATTTTCGCTAGTCCCGGGCAGCTTAGGTTATAAGAACTCGAAGCGCAAGCAGAATTATTTATTGTAGCTAATACTCGATGCATCCGTTCCGACAAACGAGACGTCCACTTATCTTCGCTATCCCAGTTGGTGATTGAATGGCGCGGGCTTCCTTCTGTGTCTGTGGTGT